ACAAACCCTAGGTTCACAGAACTTTAATCTTTGTAAGACCAAAACAAAACAATATTTTTTCACTACTTCAAATGAATATAGAATGGGGTCTAAATATCAACACTTACAATTGGCCTGAAAGTCATATAAAACCAGGTCTTCTTCTTCACCACCAAAATCATGTCGTTGAATTGTGTACTGGGTTGGGGCTGGATTGTGTGGGGGCTGGATTGTGTACTGACTAGGGGCTATGGGGGAGGGGGCTGGGGTGGTTCCGCTGTTGCAAGAGGGGGGGTAGCCAGCGGTGGTGGTGGCTGGTCGGCCGCGAAGGAAGAGGCTGGGTCGGCGGCTAAGGAGAGATCGACGGCGAAGGGTAACTGGCCGGCGAGAACAGACCGGCGAAGGGTGGGGTGAGGGACTGGGAACAGGTCAACGGCAAAGGGTAAGGTAACTGGCCGGCGGCGACCTGCGAACGGGTCGTAGAGGAAAGAAAAAAGAAAAAAAAGAAGGAGAAAAGATAAAAAAAAACTTAAATAAGGAGGCAACAAAGGAGGCAGGGGTGGGTGCACTGTAGCACGGTCGAAGTGGATAAGGTGGTATGTGTGCAATTGTGCATACGTAAGTTGTGGCTGGCATGGCTTTGGTTCCACCTTCCTTCAAATGAAATGAAAAGAAAACTCTCATTTTAATTAAATAATCCAATATATAAAGTATAAATATCATCGATGGATAATATCCCTCTCCCCCTTCAATTCACCGTACGTATGTAACCCTCGGCTGCGTGAAATCCATGAGTTATGACGACGAGGTTTGCAATCATGCATGACATGACCTGTATATACTAGCGGCATGTAGGCCCGGTCTTGAGGGAGGTGAGATCGGACGGTTGCTCCCGACCTCCTAAGTACTCCCTTACTGTTTACCATATTTTTTAAAACCAGTTCAATTTATTTTATTTAAATGTTGGTATATAAATAAAAAATAAAATTTACATATTTTAAAAAACTACATGAATAATTTTTCGATATAAGAGATGTCAATAATATTTTATTTTGTCAAATAATCAAGGTGTCAATATTTTATTTTGTCAAATATTTTGGCTCACCTCGTTTGTCAAGGTGTCCGTCTAGACGTTCATTCCTAGTGGCCCGTTAGTCTTTAGCTCAGTTGTCCGCACGGAATATGTACTCAACGACCTTGTGGCCCGTTTAACACGATTGCTCGTCTGGAAGTCCATACCCAGCGGCTCGTGGTCCTTTAGGTGTTGGCGCTAAAAAAAAGTCAAGGGAGTGAGAGTTCATTTACAAGTGGTCAACTGGTTAGATTCAAAATGGTCCGGTTGTCCACTTTAGGGGAGTGTTAGAGTGCATCCCACATCGGAAGTCTAAAAGTAAAATAATCGGTATATAATCTCTTAAGTTGGACTAACTAATCGATTGAATTCAATCTTTTAATGTGCAGTGGTTCAGCCAAGTGTCTTATTGCCCAATTCAGTTATCTCTATCCCATCCTAAATTCTAACATGGTATCGGAGACTTGATGACCAAGTGGTCACGAGTTCGAAACTCAACGTCACCCAATTTTAGAAAATTTATGGTTTCACGTGCAAGGCTAAAAAAATAACCTTTTTTGGGCCACAACCACAAGCTTGAGCTTTTGGTTGAGATGGTTCCTTGACAGTACAAATAAACAAAAGTTTTCGTGATTGTTAAAATAGGAAATGTGGCAAACATTTTGGGACGGAGGAAATATATATAGCCCAATAGAGTTCCAATTATATGTTGATAAATTTGTTTTTGTAATTTAATTTTTTATTTACATAGTATACCTTTAGTGTTAAATTTATATCTTAGAGCATCTCCAACCATAGCATTTTAGTTTGTTAAAAGTTATAATATAGCTAGCTAAACACTTTTGTTCTTCTCCAAAGAGTATGCTTTATTTAAGCAAAATTTGCCAAAAAATGACTTTGGCTTGCTAAATATAACAAGACTATCAAACTTTAACAAGCCAATACTTAAAATATAAAATAAAAAATTATGGTTGGAGAATAAAACAAAAAAGTGCTTGTTATATCACTATTCACTTGCTATAATGTAAAAATAGCAAATCCATATAGCAAGAATGGTTGGAGATGCTTATATAAATTTGTTTTTGTAATTTAACTTTGAGGAATTTACGTAAATAGCACTAAAACATAATGACTTTCCCTAAATAGCACTACATATGTTTTTTTCCCCAATGTAGCACTTTTAGTCATTATTTTATTAGTCATTATTCAAGTAAATGTTTGTCATCACTGGTCATTATGGACATTATTAAGTGCTATTTAGGGAAGAAAACAATCTAAGTGCTATTTAGAGAAATGACTTAAGTTTTAGTGCTATTACTCCAAATATTTCTTTAACTTTTTCATTCTATGTTCGCTTCGTCCCTCACGCAAGTCCCTCATCCCCCACCCCGTCCATTTTGGGATTTCATTTCATTTTGTGTAATGTCTTTCGTAAACAAAGGGAGTATATTTTTTTCTTGTATTGAAAATATTCTTTTGTATTTATTGAGCTTCATTATTAATAAAAAAATTCATTCAAATCAAAGGTTTAATAATTGATGTAAGAGCCATTTTTCTTTTTGCGCCCCGGGCCAGGAAATCTTAACAGGCATGCTTGCTAGGATGTGTTGTTTGTTCTTCCATCCACTACATTTCTGACCCCTTTCTCTAATTTTCTTCTCTGTTCATTAACGTGGATGATTTGTACTGCGTAATAAGGGTCATGCTAGGGGTGTTGTACGCATTTGTACACCAGGACAACTTAGACACACACAAATACTACGGAGTATGTGTCATTGATTCTTTAGAGTACAAATGAGTACAACGTTTTGGTGTACCCATAGCTTTAATCAATGATTAAACTCATTTAATCATTTGTGTATATCCTAACTACATCAAAAAGTTTAGCTCTTCTAAACAACATAGGATTATCATTTCATTAATGAGTGATGCTTAGATGGTTCCAAGGTTCTCATTTAAAATGTGGACTTTCTCACATTTTTCATGAGCTTGCAAGTGGATGTTTTCTTTTTTGAAAAAAACTCACTTCTTTTATACTACGAATGCACTAAGATTCATATAATGATTAATGAGCAAGGACCTTAAGTCCACGGAAGAATTTGTCTTCATTAATTAGGATGACTTTCCTAGAGTTTAAGAAAAAAGTATTGTACGATAGAAATTTATGCAATGGAATAAAAAAAATAATCACTCTTTCCTTTCCTAAAATGGAATGAGACATTCCAATAAGGAAAATAGAATACTTTCTTAGGGACGGAAGGAGTAATTGACGAAATTCTTGAAATATTACTCTTTATGTCTTAATAATGTTGATGTCTTATCAATCACACAACCATTATATTAATGTAACCATTAGTCGTTAAATTAATGTGTTTACAACCACAACTCCTAGGCTCATTGTGAGCAAGTGAAGTAGATATGAGTTTTAATATCTAAGAAATTAAGTGTCTTTTTTTTAGTGTTTTGGGAAAATATCTATACCCCTAGAGATCAAATCTTGACGTGGATCATATTTGAACTCTAAAAAAGGATTTATTTATATTCTCGATATTATGGAATATCAATTTGGGAGAACGATATCCCGAGACCACCAATGACATCTAAGTGCAGATCTGTTGTGAGAGTACCAATTCATAAATGGTTTTTGCTTTGAAAATCCCGTGCCCTAAAGCAAATTACTCACATGATGTTATTGTATTGGAATGTAGAAACAATTCTTCTTGTTGTGTTTTGGTTTACTAAGCATCCGTAATCTTAGTATTAAAGTCTTTGATGAGGAATCCAAGTGTTTGTGAAGTTTTATGCAAGAAATCTTGAAGTCTTGTACCTAGGGTAACTACAAGCGATTGTAATGGCTTGTCAAGCACGTGGTAAGCTTTGATAGACCGGTGAATCTAAGTAGATTTATAAAAAGGCTAAAATCCACGTATGGTCCTTCAACTTTGTGAGATATGCACCGTTAGTCCTTCAAGTTTTTATATCCATAAATAGTCCTTCAACTAATACTCTAGCTGCAGATATGGTCCTTCCGTTAATAATAAACAGGACGTGTAATCCCACACATGAACTGAACCCTTCTTTTATTACTTTACCCTTCTTTTCTTGCTACAGACACAATCCCCCTTCTTCCCTTGCTTTACCCAATTGAATCCATTCATCTTCACACATTTTGAGATATGGCTCCAACACACGAACAAATCAACAAGTTCCATGTCGTTGGCATTCCTAATTTTAAAAAAAACCCAAAATTAATTTCCAAATATCCTAAATTAACAGTGTAAAATTTTCAAAAAAAAAACCTAATTTCTAAAGTTCTGGACAATTAGAAGCTATTTGGAGTTTTGGACAAGCTTTGATAATCTTATGTACTCTATATACAACTATTTTTTTGAATGTAAAAAAAAATGTGTGGGACTATGGGTGAGGAAGGATGGACGGGTGGGAAATGGGTGTGTAATGGGTGTGGAGTTTTGTAAAATTAAATTTTCAAAAAAAAACCCTAATTTCATTGCATATCCAATTTCAATAAGTGGTGCAATTCTTAATTTTAAACTACTAGAAATTAAAACCAATTACATGAACAAAATGAAAAGAGAGAGGGGAACATTAAAATAGAGATGCGTAAAGCTAAAAACCCTAGTTTTAATTATGCTACTAAACTCTTACCCTTCTATCGCCATTAAAGCAGAGCTAACTTTGTTGAATACATCCAAGAACCAATTCAAGAAGTAACATAGATTGATTGGAGAAATAAAGAGGAAATTGAGGATGGGGTTGACGACAGAGAGCAGCAGGAGAAGTGTTTCAATTCGTCACTGGAAATTTGAAGTGGAGCACCTGTAAATTAATTTGAAGATGAAATAAGAAATAACAAAGCCCTTTTTGGTCATTTTCTTATCCACCGTTTGGTTTAACATGTACCACTGATAGGATATCGCGTGTGCAGCTAGAGTTGAAGGACTATTTATGAATATAAAACTTGAAGGACCAACGGTGCACATCTCAAAAAGTTGAAGGACTATACGTGTATTTTAGCTTTTATAAAAACAATCACAATTCAATCAAATTGACTATATAAACTCAAATGCTCCGCGCCAAATGAAAACCAAAATGTATAAGAGTTGGCTAAACTTATGATTATTATTATTATTATTATTATCTTGACCAGATCCTTTTCTTGGAACCCCTCTCCTTAACTCCCTGGACCGGATCTCCTCCCCTACCACGGGGCTGCAACGTCCTCTGAGCTGCCGCGGACGGTACGAAGCTTGGCTTGGGAGTGGGGGGTTTTACGCCCCCACCGAACAGTTTAGGAGGGTCAGATTTCCTGCCCCTCCTTTCGCTCGTAGCCAAAAACCCATTGTTCTCCACCTCGTTTTTCGACACCCTCTTCCTCCTCACTTCATGCTGCTGTGCCACAGGAGTTTCGTGTTCCTTCCTTTTGCTTGTTGGTGGAATGGCGCTGTTCTCTGCTTCGCCGTTTGTCGACATCCGCTTCCGTTGAACAGACAGTTCCTTCTTCTGGCAGTTGACCGCGTTCGAGTTCTTGAGAATGTGGTGGTGGTCGTCTGTTGTTTCGTCCATTGCTTCTGCCGGTTGCTCTTCTTTTTTCCCTTTCTTTACCACCTTCTCTTCCACCTTTACTTGTTGCAGTGGTGGTATGGTGGAGTTCTTTTCCTGCTCTTCTTTCAGTTTCTTCTCTAGCTCCTCTGAGTTCTTTTCCTGTTCTTTCAGTTTCTTCTCTAGCTCATCAACCTGAAAATAACATGGGAAAAAACAGCGATTACGTTCCGTTTGGAATCCATGAGATAGAAACTATGGAAAGAGAATATGTAGCTATACAAAAGATACATTCAAACAAATTTTAAGATATTTGTTATTTATTTACAATGTGAACTCTAATATATCTCTATTGGAGATTTGGAGTGGAGGAAGGAACCTTAAGTTGAAGGATGATAGAATGAGCCTCAGATTCTTGTAATTGTTCCTTCAGCTTCTTTTCAAGATCCTTGATCTGTTTTGCAATAACCAAGAAATTAAATGTCTAAAAAACAAAAGGATACAATATAGCAAATAGTCATGTTTCTCAGGCAGAATTGTTTCCAGAATTTCTACTGAACCTTGTTTTTGTAGTTCTCATAATCTAATTGTTCTTGCTCCCTCAGCTTCTTCTCCAGATCAGTGACCTTCAGCAGTGATGACAGCCAAAAATCATACAATAGTTTTTGGAGAAATAAAATCTCACGCGAAACTAAAAATGCAACCGACCAACCAAACCTTTTGTTGAAGAGTAGAGCACATCTCTTCACTGCCCTTTAATCTGTCAGACATGAGAAGGATCTGTTTTTCGGACTGGGAATGCAAAGACATCTTTGATTCAAGTTGGCCTTTCAATTCCTTGATTTCATCTTGTTGGCTTTTCCAAGCCTGCTCCTTCTCTCTGGTCTTACTCTCTATGATCCGCAAGCTGTCTTCAAGCTTCTTTAGGGACTCATCTTTGGACCTAGAATCATGGCGTGCCTTGTCAAGCTGCAAGAACACACGAAGAAAGAACACAATTATTCAATCGTTAGGTCGAATGTTTTTCTATGATTCGACCACCTCATTTCTTTAAACACTACCCCAAACGCAAACATACCATTGCTTTCATTTTTTGGAGTTCACTTGTATCGATTTGTTTCCTTACGGGTCCCAACTCGACCCCTCGGACTCTGGTAGCAAAATTTAATGAGCTCAAAGTTTCACTTAAATCCTTGTCCGAAGGACTGATTTGTACAAACATCAATGCCTTGGAGTCACCACCTGCAAAGAAAAACCCAGTTTAAGGAAAGCACAAAAGCCATATGATGTGACAAATGATCATTTCAGAACTGCCATTCATCTGTAAAACCTATGCTATGTTTGGTTCGAGGAATTTGGAAGAAAAGAAAGAAAAAGGGTTTCTCTCTTTTTCCTCACCTAAGTGGAAGGAAAGTTGGTTTCCTTCTTTGTTTATTCATCTTTCATTTTCTTTTCCTTCCACTTTTCTTTTCTTTTTTCTCTAACCAAACAAGAAAGCTTGTTTTCCATATCATTTTCTTTTCTTTTCCCTTTCAAATTCCTTGTACCAAACAAAGTGCTAATGAACTCAAAAATCACTTGTGAACTTACCTAATGAATCTTGAAGTAGATGTGTCAGCTTCGAGTTCCTAGTGACAAAAGTAGAAGTTAGAACCCATCTATAGAAGGAGAACCTTTTCAATAGGAGAATAAAATAAAGAGTTGAAACCTATATGGAATGTGGCTGCTTTTATTGGCTAAAGCCGACACCACATCTCCTAAAGCTGAAAGTGATCTGTTGATGTTTTGAGCTTCCTTGAGGCGATCACCTTGCACATCAGTCTTTGCTAGTCTCTCACTCCCTGCCAAATCCACAAGCCAAAGCTTGCTCTTTGTGCATTCGCCATTTACCAAGTTCTTGGCTCTCACCATTATGCAAAGAATGCTAAAATCCCAAAGAAAAAAATATATATATTCAGTTATATGCATACGATACACTTGAAAATGTAGACAAGGATGCAAGTTGGAAGGAGAACAGATCAAATATTTCTTTTTACCAGTGAGAACGGCTACTATGCTCATTCACATTGTTGGATCCCACAGCCCGTGCACTGCTTCCAGCCTGCAACACACTCCATACTTCATTAATATTCTCAACTCTAGCTTCTACTACTCCCGGTATGTGATGAAATCCTTCAGAAGCTTGTTTAATCTCCAATCTGAAAACAAAAAAAAAAGTTAGAGGAGATTAACTTGAAGAAAACATCAATGTACTTAAAATGAAAGTAGGGGATAGTGAATATATACTTCTTTGATGAAGATGGAGATGATGTAGACAAAAGGTCCCTAATCTGCTCGTTATAAACTTCAAGTACACTGACAGATATATCATAGGTGAACATATCACTCCTCTCCTTTGAAATTTTAAACAATTCTTCGAGGGTGCGGTAATTGACTCCTCTGTTCTCCTTGTTACCCTCCATTGTGAATGTTTTCCCAGTTCCTGTTTGCCCATAAGCAAAAATGCAAACATTGTACCCGTCTAAAACTGAAATCACCATCGGTGAAGCATCGGCATATACATCCGCTGTTAACATATAAAAGGAACAAATCAGACTCTGCAAAACTTATCATAAATATAACACAAACACCCCCTTATCTTTGTATTTCAAAGAAAATGTCAGACCTTGATCGTCTTTTGGCGTGTAGACACGGTCGAACCTAAAGGTCTTTTTGGTAGAGCCACCATTTATAATTCCAAGTTCTCCATCCTTAGCTGATTCAAAGTCCATCACCACTGAACACCCTGCAGAAACCTCTGCTTTGCTCAATGGACGACACCGACAAAATACTCTTATATTTCCTGGCATTTGTAGCAACAACAGTAATTCAGTAGTTAAAAAAACCGAACTAAGTACTTGCAGTTTTTATGAAATATTTTACAAATATGTACCTTTGGCCTCCTGAACTTCATTAAAGAGCTTTCTTCTCTTTGCTTGCTCTTCATTGTACTTTAATTTAAGATCATCGCATTGGTCAACTGCATTGGATCCACTCAGTTTACTCCAGGAAATATGTATATGAGTGAATTTGTGTGTGTGTGTGTGTGTGTGTGTGTGAGAGAGAGAGAGAGAGAGAGAGCATCTATTACAGTACAGCCAAAACTAACCAAGTGATTGAACTGCAAAGACCATTTTGTTCAAGTCAGGGATTGAAGTAACACACTCGTGGGCTTCACGTGATAGGTGAGAATGTTCTTGTTTCATAATCTGCAAAATGTCATGCACTGCATTTCATATAAATTGTTCAAGTTTCTACGCGAAATCCAGCATGTTGCAATAGAAGCCGTGGA